AATGTTTAACATATAATTTTCTTCTGCTTTTCAACATTAGCAATTTCGTCATTTTTGTCATTTTGTCAACATTTTGCCCATTAACAACAATTGTCCATTAACATATTTTGGTATCACATCATTTCTTTGTAATAACAATCCGGTTACCAAAGTTGGATTACTGTATAATAACCATTCGATTAGCAATAACAAATTGACAGTTCCGTCGGGACACTACGTTCACTTGTTGTTTAAGTTCATTTCGCAAACTGTCGAAAATATATTGAAATTTTACATTTTCGAGATCGATTTCTTCGTTTGGATCTAGATTTCTTTCCATCATCAATAATTGTTCGTGATTTATTATGTTTCGTTTTTTAATTTAATGCAGTTCTTAAGGAACTCTTTATCGATAAGGATATCACCATTCATCAGATAAGGTTGACAAACTCGTAATTCGTCATCATAATAGTCCCATTTTCTTTGAAGACGAATGGAGTTTGGAATTCATCTATGATAATATGAGATACCGATTTCTCGGTACAGGCATTTGGTTATTGCTTCATTTTTGTCCCATAGTACAATATTGGTATTAGTCAAGCATTTCCCATTTTATTTGGACAATGTTCTGCATTACCGAGATCTGAGATTAGGCTTTTTCCATCATATGCAGCAGGAAATTTGTTGTCGAATGACATCGAATTCTAAACCATTCATTCGAATATGATGATTTGTATGTAAAAGTATAATTGTCTTCAATTTTTAACAGAAATGTTTAATTTAAATTGTTGTTTGCTGGGTTAAAGGTCAGCGAGACAAGCTGGATACACCTTCAATTTTCTCAACGGAAACTTTCTGCTGTCTGAAAGTGTTCGTTGTGGTCCACATGCAATAAAAAATGGGTCTGTTATGAATTTAGTTGTTTTTTCTTATTTTTCAAATTTAACAACTCCATTGGCGTAGGAAAGTTCCTCAAACATTTGCGCTATTCAAAGGTCCAACAAATGCATTTATTAACAGCATTATAGAAATTTTTATAATCTTCAAATTTTGGTGACACAATTTGAAACGAAATCACAGAGATTTCAGAGAACAAAAAAATTGTTTCGAGCGTTCTAAAAATAGCATATTTGGTGAATACAGTTAATTTGTAAGAAAGAGTAATGATAGATTGTAATCGCTGGAGAACAGAACTGATGGTCAAAATCCAGTTTTTTATAATTGCCTGTCTTACTCAGTTCTTCCGCCCAATTCGAGCAATGCGGAAAATAGAGCAAAAATCTGAATGATTTGAAAATGAATGGACAGACATACTTAAGGATTCCAAAGTCAAAATATAAAAAGTGCTATGTTCAAGTTTTCAACCATTGATAATTCCGCCATCCCTTCTTTTTTAGTGTTAAAAAAATGTCCTTAGATACTATGTCCATCAGTGAAGATTTCGTGTTCCAATGTCGATCTTTCTCGACACTGCTTCAGAACTTATTCATTCGAGATGATATAATGTTCAAGAATAAATTTATTTTATTACAATGAGTTGTAAGATTAATATGCAGAATGCTTGT